CGTTTGAAGAAGGACATGTCATAGCGCTCGGGAAACACCGTGGAGGGGAGTTCATTCCATAGCCGGATGATACGTGGCAAAAAAGACCTTTGGAAACGCACTGTGGATGACCGCAGTGGCTCCAGGTAGTATGGATGAACTCCACTCCAGTGGCGGGCGGTGCGATGGTAAAAACAAGATGCTGGTATCATCTCGAACAATTCCTCAGAGCACTCCCCATGGAACATACGGTACAAAATACAGAGGGAACCGAAGTCCCTCCGCAGACCCAGAGGTTCCAAACGATCCGAGAAAATGCAAATTTCATATGCAAAATCACGTAAACTTTTGAATGTTTTTTTATCGTCGTTTTTAATCGTTTTAATCGATGGCTTATTATGAAAGTGCAATTACCTGATATTTGGTTTACTCATCCCAACTATGCATATATGAAGTTGACATTTGTGTTAGCTATCCTACAACAGGTACTTATGCGTTGACATATTCATTCCTGCTTATATACTACTACGTTCTAGAACGTGATGGAAATTTCCCAAAATACTATGCTTTTTTTGCCTACATAGGCTGATGGTCTCGAGAGACCATATCAGCGTCACCGGGCGAGTAGGTGAGCTCACGGGGTTCAAACCTGACGTTGTTGCTAACACGAACCCTAGCAAGAGTCGTGCTTCACAGAATCTACCACCGGATCGGACACGCCACCCACTGAGAAGATCCGGCGAGAAACTCAGTGGGCTAATTTGTGCTCCAATATCCATCTACTTAATGACTTACTGTGGGTTAATTTGCTATCTGAGCCCTTCGTCGCCAGTGACGGGTTCGACGAGGACGATGACCTCGGTCAAAAGATGGCTCTACTGCCACTACGTGCGGCTAACATATATTGTTTTAGCACGGTTTTTTGTATCGAGATTATTTACCATTGCATTGTTTTATGTTCTGGGATAATATAATTACTTTTTTATGTTTTAATAAGAAAACTTGCACAGTAACGTATGATAAGTTAAAAGTACACACATTTTTTATTATTCATATTAATAAAAAGGTTTCATGTTTGGCAATACTTACGCTTAGTCCAAGCGTCATTTGCTAGACTTTTTATTAAGTTTTCAGAATGTTGGTAAAGTAATCTCATTGACATTTTAAAATATTGTTACGCCGGTAAGAGTAAGGCCACCTATCGCCGAATAGTCAAATGAATATCGAAAGACCTAGAAGTACCTAGTACGCTCGAGAAGTACAACGCCATCTATTGACGGATAGCGGAAACTACGACTAGAATTGTGTAGAATATTCTCGATAATTCTAGGGATGAGGTATTGGTTATATAATATAATATAATATAATATAATAATATTATAAAGAGGAAAGATTTGTTTGTTTGTTTGTTTCGAATAGGCTCCGAAACTACTGGACCGATTTGAAAATTTCTTTTTCCATTAGAAGCCGACATTGTCCCTGATGAACATAGGCTACTTTTTTTATTATTTTTTTTTATTTTATTTTTTTGTTTCATGTGTGTTTTAATGTTTCCGAAGCGAAGCGAGGGCGGGTCGCTAGTTGGTTATAAAGGCGTTGTAGGGATGGCACGCAGTCAGTCAGTAATCGGAACTACTCGAAACGAAACAGCGAACGGTGATCCGTTCAGGTGATCCTGAAGCGAAGCGGAAGAAGCGAATTGCGAGTTTTAAAGTGTTTGTTGTGCGTTATAAGTGTTTTAAGTGTTGAATACAGTTTTCAGTTGTACTTTGGTGAAATTTTATTTATCCCGAACCCCAGCGCGTAACAATATATTTTTTCCCTATCTATTCGCTAGTAGCCTAGGGGGCTATTCTGGATACGCGTGGACGGGTAGGTGAGCTCACGGGCTCAACCTGAGAGAGTTTGCTAATACTAGCCCTACCAAGAGCAATATTTCGCAATATATGCCACCGGATCGCAATCGCGACCCACCCCCCGCGGTCCGGCGAGAAACTCAATTTGTTGTGTCTATGGATTTTTTAATGATCAAGTAACTAAACCTCGTGCAAGCAAAAATATTCGACTAAACGAGTCTCCGGGTCAAAGTGAACGGCGCAACGCTCCGCACCGCTCCCTGAGTTTTTGTTGTTCCCAAATCCTAAACTTCCACTCGAGTTTAATACAGTTTTTGTAGTAAATGGCCACACTTTACGAGCGCTTCTTTGGATTCGATGTACTTACGCAGTGGTCGGTCCAATCAATGTATATATTCGTATTTCAAATATTCAAATATTCGAGAATTTGGTGGAGAAACGACTTCATTAAATCAAATCAAATCAAAAAAAAATTATTCAACATAAATGAAAGTACATACTTGTTGAACGTCAAAAGAATTACCGCCAAAAAAAGGTGCACGTGCAACATGGTGCACGTGCAAGAAGTTAAACTTCTTTTGCCAAATGTTGGCCTACTACAGGGAGTCCGCCCCCTGCTATAAAATAATGGAGACATCTCGGGACAAACTGAATGATGTGAGACGTAGCATGTCGGTACTTCAGCATAGAAGGTAAATAAAAAAATATGGTGCACATACAACTTGGTGCACGTGTAAGAAGTTAAACTTCTTTTGCAGTGTGCAGTATTATGGTTTTCTTCATTTTCCATCGTTAAATTATATTTCCGTTGTAATAGGGAATGCTGTGTATAAGAGAAACGACCTAGCTCGCTTTGTCCTTTCTCTCTCTCGACGATCGAGTGGTTCGCGAGACGCTCTGTCTATTTCCTCACTGTCGCTTTTCCTAAATTGTTTCTTTTCTCTCTAGCCGTAACAAATCCGTCGCGAGGTAAATTTTACTCTCAACGCGCATAAAGAAGTTTCACTTCAATAAATACTATGAAGTAGAGAGTATTCCTCTCCTCTACGCCGGTCGGGTTCTATCTAGGGCGGGGATCAGGCATCGGATGAGAGCGTAGAGGAGAGGTTTAGTGGACTTTGCCTCTACCTTCTTCGGCCTGGCCTATCGGCATGGTGACATAGGCATGGTGACATAGGCATAGTTTCTTGGGTCTACCAGATCTTGGACCTGGTACGTAGAGGTTGAGGGATCCGTTTCTGACGTAGACTGGGGCCCCTTATTTTATTCGCGTGTCTGTCATTTCTGGTGATATTCCTTTTTAGTTTCGCTTCCGCAACCTGTTTTGAAATGAGATAATCCTATTATATTGTAACGTCATGTCTGTTCAGTGTGTCTACGATTGAGTGGGAGCCTAAAATTGTCCGCTCGATTGGCTTATTCAATTTATCAGAGTTATTTTGTACGGCCGTGGTTTCTGGTAGTGTTATTTTTGTTTTAGACGGACGGCCAATCTGATGCTAAGTGTTTTTGAGAGCGCTTAAATAACATAAACTCAATCCGAGACACTAACAATACGTCCGCACACTACTGCATTTGAACATCGACTGACGAACTCCACATCGGTAGTGTGCGACAGAGACAACGCTCTACGAAGCCGAAAATAGCCGATTGTCTCTTTCTGAAGATCGATGGGCAGTATTTATCGTCGGGTACTGTAAATATTATCATCCGCTTTCTGTCGCGAAGAAGTCTATTGTTTTGGCGTATCTAGGTGCATGGCGGCATCATGCCGTGATGTCCATGGGCTTACCTGCTATGGTAACCACTTCGAAGATGAGCTGTGGATTCTTTCGTTTCGTTAAAAAACAATTTAATTCAAGGCGTGGTTTGAAGCTGCATCTTCATATATGTTATTACCGCTGAGCAACAAGCGCGTTGGCAAACCTCCAAGATACTGCATAATCTAAATTCCGTCGTTCACATAGCCCTTAGGACGTTGACATAGAGTTTAATTTGCACAACTCCAAGGTACTGCATCATCTAAATTCCGTTATTCACATTGCTCTTAATACGTCGATATAGAGTTCAAATTTCTCTATCAGTCCATACTTGTGCAGGTAGACGATTACTAAGGTTTGAATCTCGCAAATTTAGTGATGGGTTTTAATTTTTATTCTATTGAAAATGTGTCTGTTAGTTCGTTTGATTGTCTTTACTAATATTGTAAAGAGGAAAGATTTGTTTGTTTGTTTGTTTGTATTGAATAGGCTCCGAAACTACTGAACCGATTTGAAAAATTATGTCACTGTTTGGAAGCTACACTATCCCGAGTGACAGGCTATATATTTTTGATCCTTCTTGAGGGATCCTTATTAAAACTCCAATAATGTAACCAAAGGTGTAAAAAAATTACCTACAATAATATTTACATCGCATGTTCTGCGAGCCGTACAACAAGTCTTAATTGAAACTTTAAAAAAAATCAATTCAATCATGGACAATGGTAGGGGTGGATCTCGAATGCGGACCACGAATTTCGTATTGGCAAGTCATCTAACGCAGTCTGCATTGTAATTTTAGGATTTATAAAGCATTGGTATGTAGGTATTATTGATGCTCCAGGTTTAATGGTTTACTTAAGCCTTCTAATGATATTATTTAAGTCACTTAGCCTCTGATGCAGAACATGACTAGATCGTGAGAGTATAGTTAGGATGCTAGCGCCTATCAGTGCAGTACCACAATACATCCACCAGATGCGCTATGACATATCCTTCTTCAAACGAGGCTTGTGGAGAATACTTAACGGTAGGCAGCGGCTTGGCTTCGAAACTGGCATTGCTGAAGTCCATGGGCGACGGTAACCACTCACCATCAGGCGAGCCGCGTGTGCTCGTTTGTCTACAAGGGCAAGTCGATCTTATAGGGGAGGAAGGGGGTGAGGGGGAATATACTTAAGGAAGACTTTCCGACCCTGCGAATACTATTGTTCGGAACTTGTATATGTATAGTTATTTTGAAAATGTCGTTTGCGAGATTCAGGCATCTCTCGAACGTCAATTATTCTAAGACAGCTACAGTCATAAATAGTTTCGATTTGACTTCCCTAGTCCCTCGACCTTAACATGAGCGGTCTTTGTGGGTCGAAAACTATTTTGTGATCACTCTCAATCTCTGTTCCAGGTCGCAATGAAGACCCGTGACGTAGTTCTGGTAACTGTCCTGGGCTGCGGCTCCATTGCCGTACTTCTGGCGGTCGCAGTGTATCTGTACATCAGACGCAGAAGAAGAAAGAGGGAGGACGATGAAGATGGCACCAGTTGCGCCATTCGGTAAGCCAAAGATTGAGATCGATTTCTCTTACCGAGTAAGAGAGGATTGCTTGTAAAATGGTATTACTGGTGGCAGGACCTCTTGTCTCCCTACGGGTAGGTACCACCACCATGTCTATTTTTGCCGTGAAGCATTAATGTTTCGGTTTGAAAGGTAGGGCAGCCGTTGTAACTATACTGAGACTTTAGAACTCATCTCTCAAGGTGGGTGGCGGCATTTACGTTGTAGATGTCTATGGGTGCCGGTAACCACTTAACCTCAGGTGGGCTGTGAGCTCGTCCACCCATCTATGTAAGAAAATAATAAAAAATCGATTATTATTAAATCGCTCTAACGACGATTGTAAAATATACCTACATTCCGATATAAATATTATTATTATAATTTTTTTTTTTATTGCTTAGATGGGTGGACGAGCTCACAGCCCACCTGGTGTTAAGTGGTTACTGGAGCCCATAGATATCCACAACGTAAATGCGCCACCCACCTTGAGATACAAGTTCTAAGGTCTCAAGTATAGTAACGACGGCTGCCCCACCCTTCAAACCGAAACGCATTACTGCTTCACGGCAGAAATAGGCAGGGTGGTGGTACCCACCCGCGTGGACTCACAAGAGGTCCTACCACCAGTAATTACGCAAATTATAATTTTGCGGGTTTCNTCGTCGACCCATGTAAGAAAATAATAAAAAATCGATTATTATTAAATCGCTCTAATAACAATTGTAAAATATACCTACATTCCGATATAGATATTCTTATATTTTGACTGTTGGTTTGTATTGGCTTCAAAAGCAGACGTTCGTACGTGTCACATGGTGAAAAGAGATTACTATTACTCATGGAGTCTAGCTACTGCAGAGTACTCTATGCAATAAAATTTTTTTAAAACCCATGTCTTATATTTTAATTAGATGTTGGTATTCCCAATGTCTGTCTAGAGTATCTTCTAATCACTTAACATAATCTGATCCATCGTGAATTCGTGTACTCAAATAGTAAATATTAAAGTCCATATAAAAAGAAAATGGACAGCCACATTGAACTGTATTCATATTTTATAAATTTAACCGCAAAACCCGATCTCGAGTCGAATCTTAAACAGACACAAACTTTCGAAAATTAACTGTTAAGAAACTCCACCGCAGACTTCAACAGCTGCCCGAGCTTTAAACTTAAAGTTGTGCTTTCGCCCAGAACGTTTCTATGAATTAATGTATATATGAAAATATCGTCAGTAAGTTGTCATGTCGTTGATAACGAATTGTCATTTTTTTTAATTTATGAATTGTTTGAAAACCTTACTATCACTTATCTGCATTACTTACTATTTAACGGGTTTGTATCGCAACTTTGACACGATATCTACGTGTCTTAATCAAAGTCTGCTTTTGAAGTCGTGCCCACTGAGTTTCTCGTCGGATCTTCTTAGTAGGTCGCAATTCTGATCTGGTAGTAGATTAAGCGAAGCACTACTCTTGCTAGGGCATCAACAATTCTTTCAGGTTGAGCCCGTGAGCTCACCTCGCAGTCTTTAAGGCTACCAACGATAACGTAAGGTAAAAACATTTTCATTTAAATCGTCGTGGCTTAAATGATAAGACGCCCGGTGCATCCCTATCCATATTCGATGGTGTTCGTATAACTAGCTTACAAAACTTCGATAAAAACATTACTAATAATTCTTGTGGACTATTTAAGTTTAGTATTTATCGCCAAATATGGAATAGTACAATTTGATAGTGTTTACATAATGTTACGCCGGTAAGAGTAAAGCCATCTATCGTCGAATAGTCGAACAAATATCGAAGGATCTAGCAGCACGTAGAACACTCGAGAAGTACAACGCCCTCTATTGTCAGATAGCAGAAACACAATACTAGACATATGTGGAATATTCTCGATAATTCTAGGGATGTGTTATTGGCTATAATGGCGTTGCAGAGATGGCACGCAGTTAGTCAGTAATCGAAACTGCTCGAAGCGAAACAGCGAACGGATCACTTGAAGTGAAGCGAAAGAAGCGAATTGAGAGTTTTAAAGTGTTTGTTGAGGGTTTTAAGTGTTCTAAGTATTGAATACAGTTTTAGTTGTACTTTGGTGGAATTTTATTTATCCCGAACCTTCAGCGCGTAACAATAATATGCTATGCATAACGATGGTGCTTACATTTACCCGCTAAGCATAACGGGATTCGAATGAGTTTTGTATTAATTCAAACCTTCAATATTTCAAATGAATTCGAACAAAATCTCTTACAAATTTTTTTTCGTAACAAAATATATCGGATTTATTGAACCGTCGGTCTACCAAGCAATGTCACCAGCTTGATGGAAAGTCTTCCTTTTGTTGTTACTCTGAAACTTTTATTACCTGTAACTATGGTAACGGAGAACATAGTATATTATAGAGTCCATGAAAGATTTCGTAGCGCATCTGTCGTAACTTATAATAACTATAGTACAACTGAAGTTATAAAACCATATATTATGTATTACAATAGGAGGATTTTTTTTATATTTATTTATTGCTTAGATGGTTGGACGAGCTCACAGCCCACCCGGTGTTAAGTGGTTACTGGAGCGGGGAGCCCATAGACATCTACAACGTAAATGCGCCAATCACCTTGAGATATAAGTTCTAAGGTCTCAAGTATAGTTACAACGGCTGCTGCACCCTTCAAACCGAAACGCATTACTGCTTCACGGCAGAAATAGGCAGGGTGGTGGTACCTACCCGCGCGGACTCACAAGAGGTCTTACCACTAGTAAAAATTATGTATATGTTACATATATGTATTACAATAGGAGGAATAAGTTTTTTTCTCGATATATACACAATTACGAGTATGTAGCGGTTCGTAGCGTGTTACGACGTAGCCAGCTACGGCGTAGCGTGACCGCGACTACGCTGTGCGCCTAAGCTTTTAAACATGTTCCCTCACTGCTGACGATCGCGACCACATGTGAGTTTTCTCTACAGTTTTCGATCATGGGTGGAATGGATCATATGGTACAGATTACCACCAAGTTCTTCCCTTACTAGATCTGACCATACGGCTGATGTTGTGCCCACGGCGCGCTTGCCCTCGATACGTTAAATTACGTTATATTGTATACGTTAAATTAAATCTAAATATAAAATTCAATTTAATTATTTACGAAAACTCGATCCGAACGCAACTTCCCGAAGTGTACGGTAGGTATTCCGAAGTTTATCGCGCAAACAAGGCAATAAATTTTCCGCTGAGTCTCCATAAAGTTAGTTGAGGTAAGACAATTCTTACTATCGCTAGGGGGATCGATTGTCTTGAAGATTCTTGCAGCTTAAATTCCTCATTTAAAGAAGCAGAGCTCTTCTTGTACACAAACAGACACAGATCCGACCTACATCTAGCCTCTTGTCCTATACTAGACTACTATAGACACAGTCCTCTGCAGCTCTGTACTGATCCCGAGCTCTTCTCGTACACAACAGACACAGATCCGACCTACATCTAGCCTCTAGTCCTATACTACACTACTATATACACAGTCCTCTGCAGCTCTGTACTGATGCCGAGCTCTTCTCGTACACAAACAGACACAGATCCGACCTACATCTAGCCTCTAGTCCTATACTACACTACTATAGACACAGTCCTCTGCAGCTCTATACTGATCCCGAGCTCTTCTCTTACCTAAATAACACTAACACTAATAATAGTTTGGTAGCTAAACGAAAAGCAGCACGATTCTTAAGAGATGTCAGCACGATTGCGGTATCGTCGGAACTCGACTAATTTCGCGCTACGACAGAGCCTAGCTGATGGAGGCGCGTAGACGCCATCACACTTACCAACCAGCCTTCTTGAAGAGCGGCGCCTCCGTCCTAAGAACTGTCATTTGTTTTCGTTTGCTAACGTCAAAAGAAGATTTCTAAATTGTTCTAAGACAACAATCGTGATTGGTGTACTCAATATTTCTCTTAGCTCGATCACCCTATTCGCCTCTACGATGTCTGACGAGGGTGTTAATAATTGTGGCTTCTCCGATATATTTATAAATATGAACAATGTAATAACCTAGATATGACTAAAACTATGAATATTGAATATTTGAATATTAGTTTTCCAATGAATTTCTACTTCAGTTGTCCGTAGTGACTACAGAAACAGATCAGTAGCCGAAACGTCCGGAATAATAATACGCTGATAATAAAAAAAGGCGAGAAAAAAATTCGATTCGGCGTTTCGCGAAAACCGAAGGAGAGAAGTTAATTGTTTGATTGATTGATTTGGAATAAATATATGTATCGATCGATCCTAAAAAATGTGCGCCAGAAAAACAAAGCTATTTTGTTGTGCGAGCTTTTTCTCTCTCTTGTTTATGTGTTGGAGGAAAAGCTCGGGAAATTCGAAATGTTTGTTAAGGCTCTAACTCTATTTGTATTGAAGATTCAGCCCCTCCCTTAAAGATGTTTATGCCTCGTTTAGCTATTAATAAGTAGAGAATGTCTCTACTTCATTAATAATATCAGAAGCATTCTAACTTTATATCCGACTTATATTTCCATTACACTATACTCACAGGGCACCTGGTATTAATGGGTTACCAGAGTCCAGAGATAGCGTGAAGCCTCATAAAGGATATGGCCTTCCTGAAACAAGGATTGAATATTCCTCTGCGGTAGAAAGCCTCCGTCAGTCAAATGAAACATCAGTCACTGAAGTCACTTTCCACAAGAGTCTCATCCCAGACGTGAAGCTATTCTCCTCCTCCTTGCTTTAGGTTCCTCAATGCTGAGGGTCGTGATCACCTTTTTTTTATTGCTTTGATTTGTGAACGAGATCACAGCCCACCTGGTGTTAAGTAGTTACTGGATTCCATAGACATCTACAACATAAATGCCGCAATCCAGCTTGAGATATGAGTTCTAAGGTCTCAGTATAGTTACAACGGCTGCCTCACCCTTCAAACCGAAACGCATTACTGCTTCACGGCAAAAGTAGGCGAAGTAG